TGAAGATAGTAGAGGGCTGGTGCAGAAAGGCAGACCTCAGGGTCAATCCTAGTATAACTGCACTTGTGGCCTTCACGAAAAAGAAGAAACTGGACAAACTAAAAGTTCCCAGACTTTTTGACACACAGCCAAGTATGACACAGGAGGTTAAATATCTGGGAGTAACCCTAGATGCTAGGCTAACCTGGAATACTCAACTGCGAAAGACTGTCAGCAAAGGCAAAATGGCACTAATGGTTTCTCGGAGAGCGATTGGTAACACATAGGGACTGAAACCACGCATGGTACATTGGCTATATACTGCTGTGGTGAGACCAATGATTGTATATGGATCGCTTGTCTGGTGGCCTAAGACTGAACAGAGATCAGCTATAATGGAGCTTTCAAAACTCCAGAGATTAGCTTGTTTCTGCATCACAGGTGCTATGCGCAGCACTCCTACCGCTGCTATGGAAACCATACTCAATATTCCACCTCTTGAAATCTTCATCAGGGCGGAAGCGAGGATGGGGGCATACAGACTGGAGTGTACCGGCAACTGGTATGCTCGGGGTGACTCCCTGGGACATACAAAAATAATCAGCCAAGTTTCAAGCCCACTAATGGATATGGGAAGGGACAAATTGCTGCCTAGAAATAACTATTACAGACCCTTCAACACTCAGCTCTACTGGTATGAAAGGGTCTTGACTAACTGTCAGGAAGGCACGTTAGTATGGTACACTGACGGTTCTAAGACTGATGAGGGCACGGGAGCCGGAATATATGGAGATAGACCCAGAACCAGGATGTGTGCTTCCTTGGGGAGGTATGCTTCAGTATTACAGGCAAAGGTGCATGCTATTGAGGCATGCCTGAGAGAGAATATCGTAAGGGGATACAAAGGTAAACAAATCCTCATATGCTCAGATAGTCAGGCGGCCATTCAATCTCTAACATGCAATAAGATCAGATCAAAATTGGTCTGGGATTGCCTTCGAAGCCTGCTAACCCTGGCTAACCACAACAAGGTAACTCTTCAATGGGTGCCAGGGCATAAGGGAATTGAAGGCAATGAAGCAGCTGACGCTCTTGCCCGGCAAGGGTCTGCGACGTTGTTTATGGGGCCGGAACCTGTGTTCGGTATCCCCAAAACCTCAATACGCGGCTGGCTGGCAAGGTGGAAGCAAGAAAGACATCAGGCATACTGGAACAATGTCCCAGGACAAAGACACAGTAAACTGATGGTTGGAACACTGTCCAAAACAGTGACTAACGACATTCTGAGCCTAAACAGAAGTCAGATCAAACAAGTGACGGGACTAATAACCGGTCACTGCCCCTTGAGGAAACATATGCATCAAATGGGCATCTATACAGACGAATCCATATGCAGACTATGCAATGAGGAGGAGGAAACTGCCACCCATGTGATACTGGAGTGCGAAGCACTAGCGCGTTGGAGATACAACCTTCTGGGAGCAGTAAACTCTCAAGAGGCATTTTCAAAGAATGATCTGGTGAAGAGGCTGCTAAACCTCATCAAGGTAGCGAACCTGTTCACCTAAGTCAACAGCATGATCAGGAATACAATAGGCCCAAAGGCTGCAGTGTTTTGGGCTTCAAACCCTGACTGATCATTCTGCTATTAATCAATCAATCAATCAATCAATAGACAACATCACCATCAGAATATTGGATTGAATAATTGTGGTCATCAAGTACAATAGTATGGTCGACCCCATTTGGTATAAGAGAGCAAAGATTTCAGGAAAACCTACCATTATTATAAGGGATATATTGAATATCTACCAAAAGTCGTGAGTTGACGAATCAATGCATGGAAAGGAGTATTACACATACCAACAAGTTTTACAAAAATCGAAATACAATGACGAAATCAGAATATCCTTTCTGGAGCTTGATACGAATACTTTGCCATATGAAAGCTACCTATATCATATTATAGGTTGTTTGACGCAATCGAATGAAACGGCTATCGACAAACTCAGATTCATCAATAATTGACCTAGTTGAAAGTATTGGCGTCGTATTAACAATGAAGGAGTGCGTTCTTATCATACAATGCGAATGCAGGTTGGTTTTCAAAAGTTAATTTCACCACGAAGGAAGAAAAAGAAAATTATTTTGAATATAAAACAGGAATTGATGTTGATTAGAAGTAATGATGACATCGACGCGACATACAGTTCTGATGTCGAGCAAATTCCAAAAGAACACATCGACATAATATTTTTGAGAGTGCCCCACGTTTTATTAAATATTCCACAACAATTGTTGTTCACTAAAATAGTTGAAACAAATCAAGGAATATTTCTAGCATTCGAATGTTGAGAGCTAATAAAAAACCCCGAATCGACTACATCCACAGAAACGACATGGCCTGTCGAAAAGACAAATCATTTGGAAACACCACGTCACGTCAAAAATATAAAATCAGATTCGAGTTAATTCGATGATTGTGACTTGACAAATATCCGAGTTGGTTTGAATAGTGACAGATATCCATATAATTACCTTTATCTGATTTTCACTGATAATACAACTCCCCAATAATATTCCATGTTCGCAAATTTCAGACCATCGTATTATTGATCTGATAAGAAACCTATATGTTTACTTCAGGAGTTTGTAGATACCATCCCCATGGCATACATCGACTGTTTCTATCAGAAAAAAGCATTGCAGAGTGAATCAGTTGTGATTTCATACAACATTTCATCATTTTGTTCAGTTTCTACAAAAATTGTTAAGCAATTGTAAAATTTATTTTCCATCCTCCACTCCTCTTTTGATTTGAAGATAACATTCAGGTAGTCAATAATTCCAGTTGTGTATCATCACCCACGCAATTGAGTTATTAAGTATAGATATCCACGGGTTCTCTTTATTCCATACGTTTTACCACAAAGAACTATCAATTTCGAATCGCTATCAAATCAACAACTATTTATTCAAATCAGCTGTTCCATTCCATGCCCTCCAGGAAGCAGACAAAAAACAAATTCGTTTGCTAGAACAAGATTTTTACGGGCTAACATACTCTTCTGGTTTCATAAATTATTATGAATTGCCCAATATACTCTCTGAACATCTCAGAGATGTCGACTCAGTTCATGTAAGAGAACAACAGAAACAAAAATTCCTAAATTCGGTGCTAACGTCATCTCACAGACCCAAAATAGTCAATATCGAGTTTTTAGACAATGTGGTAGATACTATCAAATCCAAGGCTGATAGTCACCAATATGTGCAGTTTTCGGAATTGCAGAGATTCAGATAAGCGGATAAGTAGTCTTCTACCCTAATGAACATTCCATTCGTTTGCTGACCTCTCAGATGTTCATCAACGGCATTTGATCAACTTATCGAAATCCTCAAGGAACTAAAAATGACTATCGAAATCTTTGAGATGATGCAGAATTTCAACAGCATCAATATTAGCCCGAGAGAAAAAGAGAAATGTAACCAACAGTTTTTCTCCAATTCGAGATGTTCTGAACAAAATACAATTACCACAACCAAACGGATTTCTTTAAAATTTCCAACTTTTATTTGATGAAATCATCTGATATTACTCATTGTTTATTCCACTGATTCTTTCTGTATTTAGTTGTGGTGGACAATTCTCAAATGGTAATTATCATGTGTTAATGTTCTGGAACTAGAAATAATATGATAGTTGAATATTTTGGTTCGATGGGTGGCCACATATTCTGGCGTACTTTTGTCTCAAGAATGTAGAGTATGTTCATCATATATCGTTGTTCGGCATTGATTCAATATTATTCTCTTATGAAATGGCAGTATCAAAAATATATGCCAGATCAATTAGGTGGGTATTGACCGTCGTAGTCATAAAATGGAAGTCACGTTAACAATAATATTTGTTATCATTCGGCGGTGCTGTTTTCTGATAATCTATAGTGTAATAATATATTATAATGATTATGGAATCTCTTAATGAAATGATTGCATTTTTTCCATTCGAATGGCTAAGAAAACATCAAGTCGTCGCCATAACATTATCAAAACGAAGAAATGATCGAGACGAACGCCTCTTTTTTCGTTGGTACCATGAAACAGGTGAATTCGTTCTTATCAGAGATTACATAATGACGTCTTTCATACCATTAGCTATCATATCAGAGCCTTTCCTCCTTTGACCACCGAGCCGCCATTGTTAACGAAAATTAGTATGACTGGGAAGGTCAATATCCCCTTGATATATTCGACATATATTTTTCATTCCTTCATTTCATTTTGGAATGATATAAAATCAATGCCGAACATCAAAGTATGTACGAAAATTAGTATGACTGCGAATGTCAATATCCCCATAATATTTTCGGCATATATTTTTCATTCCTTCATTTCAGTTTGGAATAATATGAAATCAATGCCGGACATCAATTTATGATACACACATACTCTACACCCTTGAAACAAAAGTAGGCGGGGGTGAATGACCTTCGATTCAACCAAAATGTTCGGCGATCATATTTCCTTGAGTTTATGTGAATTATTCGTTTTATTCACAAAATATTGAACATTAACAGATCAAAATTTCTGTAAGATTGTAAACATCAATATATAACGGCACTGCGCATCGTTTCACGTTCGGCATTGCCGTTGAGTCGAATTTTTTTCTCAATAACAGTTAATTGCGACATACGACATACGCCAAACGGTGAGTTGAGATTCGAGACCCTGAGTTTCCTTATACAACTTCACCTACGCGGCCCGCACCAATTGGTCTACGAATTTCATCTGGCGAGCTCATATCCGTGTAGTGGATGGTGGAATTTGGTGTATTCCTATACTGCTGAGTGTAAAAAAATGGGACAAAATAAAAACACGTGGTCCATTGTATACATAACAAAATATCTGTATGTGTTAATATCGACTATGTTCCTTTTCAACGTGTATTTCAAGTGTGTACTTCTCAGATAGTGAGTGGAATAAACTTCGGATTTGAATGATGTTCTTGAGTTGCTCACCTCATAATTCATGAGACTGATTCCAACTGAATGATTCTGCAAGTCAGCCTCCACCAATCCTTTGGAAAACTTTTTCAGAAACGCAAAACATTTATGAATCATCTGAACGAGATGCAAGGCATTTTCGAACTCTTCTATGAGGAAAGTTTCCATGACAGACATCTTCGAAGTATCATTCTGTGCTGATATCCTCAAGAAATCGTAACCCTGGTTCAACTTCTTCCACAAGATCATGAACGGCGCCAAACCCTTTGAGAATTCCTCTTGGTCGAACTTGTTCGAAGTATTTCTACTTATGTGGAAATCTAGAAAGGAAGTCATTACCTTTTGTTATATTGACGATGTTATCAAACTTACTCTTCAGTTCTGAAATGAGTTTGACAGAGGTTTGCTTCTCCCAAGCTCTGTTCATATTCTCGGATAGTCCAAATACCGATGGCATGTCTGTATTCGGCAACTGTCTGATTATTTTCAGGTATTCCTATCAAAAGTCAAAAGGATATAAAATATTGCATGACGATGATACTTTCGAGATATTTTCAAAAACAGTCTCACGAACACAGTAGATTCGCCTCGTAAGCTTCTTTAGGCCTTTGGCGCCGACCTGAATTAGAGCTAACATTCTCAATATCACCAGTTGGCGCTACTGAAGCTTGAGGTCTATGTCAATGTCCGAATTTACAAAATTTTGCTGGATAGCTCTGAAGGCTATTGCCTATTATTTCAAAAAATTCGAAGAAACAGTGATTTGTTGATTGGAAACATAAACTGAAGGTATAATAAGGCTTGAGTAGGTTCGGGTTTTGCCTCCAGATTAAAACTTTACGCGCAATTTCAACATCATCAGAGAGTAATGCAAAATGGAATGAATAAAACATAACCTTTCTGTTCAACTATCCTTGAATTCACTTCGAGGAAGCGTGATCTGGTGAACAATTAGAATATGTTGGCCCTCGTTCTGTCTACATACACTATGAATAAGCTCTTTTCGTAACTTCCTATTTGAACTTCTATCGTGATATCTTCCAAAACGTCAAATTCCTATTTATTTCTAATTATTTATCACCGTGAATCGAGTGAGTGTTTCATTCAATATGGTAACTGAAATATCTCATTCAGTTCCAAAATATAGTTCGTACATCGTGATGAGAAGTCTCTCAAAAGAGCGGATAAAAGTGCATAATATTCCATGAGATCGAAGGGCATGCACGACCTATTACCATAAGGGGTTCTTTCTTCCGTGAGTAAGGATGACTTAGATGGGTGGATGTGTAGATATACATTTAGTATTGTTGTATTTCGTGCAAAATAGTTCATCCAATTTTTTGTAGCAGACTATTTGGTCATCATCATAGAATACCTGTGAGTAAGTTTGCAGCTTTCAACTATAAAAAAATGAAATTTTGTTTTTTGAAACAATATTTATTTATGGAAAACATTGTTGAATTTTGATTTGAAAATTAGTACGATTCAACCAACTCATAGCTATTGAAAATAGAAATTATCAGATTGAAAAATGTCGAAGATATATTCAAAAATTAGTAAAAGTGAGCTTACTCACTCGCCAGTTTGACATAAAAATTATCCATGGAAATATCCTGATCCTGTTCATTATTTTTGATGAAATGGTTCGATACGGTACAAACAGATCGAAATTTGATTCTCACAATAAAATACAATGCAGATCACGATATTTTAAGCAGCTACCATGGCTGCGGCATATTGTCTCGTTGAAGTGAACAAGAGAACAGAATATATTAGAAAATGAGAGCCAATTTGAAGTTGATATCTGACATAACATGAGACATGATATAATACGTCAGAGAAATTGTCAAAACATCATTCTTGGGAACAATTGATGAATGTTATCAATATGAAAATGAAAAATAGAGAACGAAATCCCTAATAAGCAGTTGTACTGGTCTAATGGAAATCTATCCAACAAACCACTCAGTAATCTGAATGATCAAAAATGCGATAAATCAGCAAGTGAGTACACCAGGAAAATCAAGTTGAGCAAGATGAGAGCTCACTCAAGTCAGTCCAGATTTAATCGAAAGTTGAAATTTTCTTCATTTATCTGACGAACTATTTAACAAAAAATATTTGAGAATTCTGGTATCGATAATAAAATTTTTTGATAAGATCTAGACTGACTTAGGTAAGCTCTAATTATGCTCATCTAGGTTTTCCTGGTGTACTCACTTGTTGGGTTGTTACATTATTGTTGTTGGATAAGTTCTCATTAGACCAGTACAACTGCTCCATGGATATTTGGTTTTCTTTTCTCCACTTCCATATTGTTTACAATTATTATCTGTTTCCAACATTGATTTCTAGACAATATTTCTGACATAATATTTTATGTCATGTTTTGTTCGTCATTATTTCAGTACTTGCTGTCAATCTTCAAGTTCACTTCAACAAGACAGTATGCCGCAGTCACGACAGCTGCTTGTAATAATTTAATCTGCATTTTATCCCATTTTGGTTAACGAATTCTGATCTCTTTGTATAATGAACAGAACTAAGAATATAGAGTTGAAATCAACATAACTTCATCATAATCAGGTATGGAGAAGCGCAATACAGATCGATGAGGAATTGAATGTTCCTCCATATAATGAAAAGATGAAATTGGCACAAAAAAGTTATGGTTACAAGAACAATTTCAAGATGTTTTCCCAAGTTTGAAAGATTCCTATTCGTTTTCTCCCAATCACAAAAAACTTATATCTGGACAATGGTTAGCCTCAGATATAGGAAAGGAACCTGAGAAAGAATAAAGAAACAGCATTCCATTCGGAATTTCGTGCGAATAACTCATTGATAGCAAAAGTTATTCTCAAAGAATGGACACAAAAATTCAATTTTGGACACAAAAATTCAATTTTAACACCCTTTTTCTCCGAAACGAAGCAATTCTGGCACAAGTTTATATAGACTCCCTTCTCAAAATGTTCTCAGGAATACGTCACTTGAATATTTGAACAAACTCATGTTACAACCTGTATACTGGGTATGCAGTTAGTGATATTTCGATAAATGAATCTCTTTTGGTGAACAAAGAGTTTTACTATTGCGATAATTGCGTTAATCGTACGATAATTTTAATATGTAAACTCTCCATAACCAATACGCTTTTCTTGACTACTGCATTCATACGTTATATATAAAATGTTGTTGAATGAAATATTGTAATTACTTTTGACTCGAAAAATGCATCACTACTGCATGAAATGTTGTATGCATCACGTACGTAAAATGCGTTTATCGCCTTCAGCGTGTAATGGCCGTAAGCCATGAATGCCTACATTGAGCCCTTGATATATGAATAAACCTTAAGGCTTAACTCAACTCAACATAATTTCAAAAAACTATCAGATATACATAGCTATAATACTCGTAATAACAGATTAATTTTGAAACCAATGTTCATCTATGAGGCTAACATAAAAGGACCATTATATATGGGTATCAAAATTTTAAATCACCTACCGAACTCACTCACAGAAATTTGCTCACTGAATCGCTTCAAGAAATCACTCAAACAATATTTACTGTCAAACATTTATTATAACCTAGAAGAATTTTTTTCAAACAATTGTCAATAGTATTTTCAACCTCAATATTAATGTTTATTTCTATTAATAACTATTTCATTAAATATTTCACTGAATTTACAAAAGCAAATACCGAAACATCTATTCATTGTACATATAAATGATAATTTCTGTCAAAGATTATACTTCCACTAAATTTGTGAAGTATTGCCAAATATCAACTCCGATTTGTATACATTATTCATTTTTCTCTCTCGTTATCTCAAATGTTCTTAGGAACTTGCATTGATTTGTAAAAAAATATATTTTTTTGCACTCACTGTATTGAGAAATAAATCTATCTATCTATCTATCTATCTATCTATTGCCACTAGATGGCTACAACATGACTATAACTTCATGTTATACCCTGCGTCTTCGAAATGGGTGATATACCCGAAGCGTAGAGTTGTCCCAGTTGTCAGCAGACCGAGAGCGGCTGATGAGACCTGGTGAGTCGAAACAGTACTGTCTCGCTCCTGCTGACAATTGGGGCAACTCTCTTCATCCTGGATCTCTTAGTTATGAGATCTAGCAGTTGAATAGGTGGTAGAAAAAATCCACTCAAGTATGTCAGGTAGTGCCATCTGTCAGCAGAGTGGTTTACTTGTAGTACCACTCTGTAACGTATAGACGTAGGAGTCTGTACGTGTGACTATAGATGGCAGCGCCATACAGTGTGTGTCGCGATTTGTGTATCCTACCTTAGAGCTTTATTGCCACTAGATGGCTACAACATGACTATAACTCCATGTTATACCCTGCAAGGTACACTTTCTTTCACGATTGTTGCTAGGCGATGGAATGCATACTTGCTGCTATATGGTCGCTTTCGCTAGCCACTCACCACACACTTTGGTATTGCGTTATTTTTCTTCGAACATACTCGTTCGACGAACAGAACAGCCCATCGACAATGCAGTCTATGGACTCCTTCACAGAATTCAGCAAGGCAACAGGCGAACAAATCAAGGCGGGAAACTCAGTATTTTGTATCGAGTGCCAGTGAAATAAAAAGGGGAGCGGAAAGAAGACACAACGACACCCTTACGTATTAGGAAATAATATTCTCGCATCTCAGGTATGATTATCAAATCGCTAAACGCGAGCAGAATGAGCAAATTATTCAAATGAGCCGAAGGTTGCACAGGCTATTTCAATCTCAGGAACCAGGTGTTATCAATGAGGTGACATGAATGTACTTGATAATAATTGCGGGATATCATTCGATAATTCACATCATGATTTGAATCAGGTTGTCCTATGTTTGACAGAATTAGGAAAACATATTGTTTGTTGAACGTGTATGAAGTGGTTTTTTATTCATAAGAATCACATTCTTTATTTCCTACTCGTTGAAAGTACCACTTAACACACAAGTCAAACAATTTGGGACACCCCAAACTCGAATATTTCAGGAGATTAGATTGATTACCTCAAAATTAACTCCATTTGGCAAACTCGAATTCAATCCAAAGGGTTTCCACTTGTGACTCATTATTTCGTCGTTGAAATACTGTCTGGCATACGAATACAAAATTGTCATATCGTCGCCTGTCTCGATCCTACCGCCGTAGACCGCGTCCGAAGTCAATCCAGAAATGAAACGCCACTGCATTTGCGGAGACTGGTTGTGCCACAAATCCTCGACTAGTTTCACGTTCGTAGACAGATCTGTGTCGCTGAAATCGTAATATTTCGACCACCCTGTAACAAAGGTAGTTCAATTCTGAAAATAGCTAAATACGATGCGAATCCAGAAATATATATTTATTTATCTCTCGGAGCACACGAAAGGAAATTCCTACAATGTTCGTGGAAAATCGTGATTACCTAGGAAAGATAGGGAGAGGAGGTAGGTGTTGAAATTTTGTTTGAACTTTTGATGAATATAAATTCTTGAGAATTGTTCTAAAAATTGTTTTCGATAAACATCATTCGCCGGTTACTCCCTCACCAGCAACCCTTAGAAGTCTTCGAGGGGCTCGTGCGAGCAAGGAATTACGGTGCCTTACCTTTCGACCTGTGATCTCAAACACTTTCTTGGGCCATCAAAAAAATGTCTGCAGTCGCGGGGAATCGAACCCACGACCAGCAAGCAAACGCGGATTGAAAAACTGGAGCTTCGTCCGCGCAGCTACTTGGCCACTAACTTGGCGAAGAATTCCAAAGCTTCACCGTTCTATAGAGGAACATGTTTCGGTAGAGTGTTGCTCGACATTTTCCGAGGTGAACGATAGAGGAATGTGCTGACTGAGCCAGTCGATATCGTCTGACTGGTATTGCTAGTGATGGAATTATAGCAGAGATTTTTGAAGGACATTTGCCGTAAAAGTATCCGACTTTTCTATGGTGTTCTAATAGGGTCGAAGAGTTGGTGGGTGTGACATCATCCACCAGGCGGATGGCTCTTCTCTGAATAGAATCGCATCAACGTATGTTTGGGTGCTGAACTTCATACAGCAGAGCATTTTTCTGAAACTAGCCGTATCTGTATGCTTTGTGGATCATCAGAAGCTGTTGAGGTGTAGAGTAGATTTTCGCACGAAACAAGAAACCGAGCATTTGTGAAGCACTTTTTGCGATGGATATTGATTTTCTCATGAGAAAATATTACTGATGGTAATACCAAGCATAAATATAGTGGTCACGATCAACATGATGGTTTTATGTTTAGAATGGAAAAAATCCAGAAATGATTCAGATCATAGATGAATTGTGCATTCAAATTCGTATTTTTGCTTGTGAATTGTCAATTAATACAATTTCTCAGCGGTCATTTTCAGAAAATAATTCAAGCTGCATTCGTCAAATATCTGTTGAAACAATTCCTTGAGGCAGTAGCTATCTAACTGAGTATAAATGAAACAAAAAGTGCTTGATACGAGCTTGTTATTCCTAACGAATAGTGAATAACATACTTGAAAGATACAGCATTATGTTTTTTTATTTCAATCATTCGCTCGAAGCATCCACAAAAAATATACATTCGGAACTACAAGATGCATAAATATTATTGATTATGATGTACGGGGTCGAATGAAAGCTGTAGTTTATGTTATCCTAGTGAATACATGGAAAGGGCTCATACAAAGGATAACCAACTCTGCCCTACATATACGATATCATCTGACAACTACGCTGAGGAAAAAGCACTCATTGAATATTCTTCTTATGTCTGAGTTGGTGACTATTATTCAGTTCATAATCATATGCACTCATGTTAAGTATAGAAATAACGCTATCGACTAGTTGCCATAACAAGAGATGTTCTATTGGAAGTAAATCAATTTACTCCATTGGTTTTCTTGTAATGACAATGATGTCTAAACCTATGATGATTAACGCATGAATTTTGATTATATTACCGTAACATGTAATGTGATTATAATGATTAACGATCGTTAACGAATGTGTCTCGAGTACAAACGTAACAAATTGGCACACTCCGCGTACACCTCGTGGCAGTTAGGCAGTGGCGGTTCAGTCGGTCGTCGGTCTGTAAACTCGTGGTTCGTCCATTTTTTTCGTTGAATACGGATGTGTTTCGATTTTGAGTTGTGATCCAGTAAGGTATTGAAAATCTAACGGTTAGAAATGTGCAGAAACTGAGATTGACCGGGACATTTAGGAGTGATATTTTATTCCGAAATGTTTAACTTATTTCATTTTCAATCAATGAGTACTCTGAATGTGAGGTATATTTTCATTCTTGTCTATTAATGAACTCACTTTTTTGAAGTTCAATTCTCTTATTTTTTCAATCCACACAGTTCAGTTCAGTTCTTCTTCGACTTCATAACAACATTCATATTTCTGTTGCAGCAATTCATCGCAACCTACACGTTAGGTATATGGGTGGGATTTATGATCAAATAATCATAAAAAATTATTGAAAAAATATCATCAAGTTGACAATTGAATTATTTTTTACCAAATGAGTTTCCAGAATAGAAAAAATCTATTTGATACATTTACTCTCCGGAGTTTATACTCAGTCAATCAAAAACTTTCGGTACCATTCATGTAAAAAAATAACCGGAAACTTATGTTAAATTTTTAACTTACTCTTGATGTGCTGGAATAGGTGGAAAATATGTATCAACATTCTATTTTCGCGATACTCCGTTTCCAAGGGTATTTCGAAAAATTTTCATATGGATGTAATTTTAACTGACAGAGCTCCGAAAAATAGATGTTGAATATATTTTTTCAATTCTGGAAGATTATTTGCTAAAAAATTATTGTTTCATCAATTTCAAATAACCAGGGTCATTAATTATTTCGATACAGTGGTTTTATGCCTGTTATAGGTTCCGGAGGATAACAGCGAATGTACTCTTCAATTAAAGTAACACACACTAATAAATGACCGTAATTTGTGAACGGTGTAGCCTTCAAGTCACACATCATCTAGTAACTGTTATTGGGTCGTCATAGCAAAATAAATTGTATAGTATTAATAAGCCAGCTAGGCTGTTCCCTATTTGAATAATTTGAAAAAAAAATCTCAATAACCGTTATTCGATTTATTTCTCAGTGAAGGATAGCAAAGACGAAAATGAGAAGATTCTGCCGTGCATTTATTCGTAATAGATGCTTTCAGTATGAACAAGGTATGAAAAAAGGAGATATTAACAGACATTTCTCGAGTAAGTTCTCACGATTTATTAGAAATATCAAACCGTATCAAGCGCTCTTACTTTCATTTTTGTTCTCACTTAGAGCTATTGCCTCAAGAAAATTTCAAAACTTCCTGACGAATGTGGGTTTAAGTTTCTTCTGAAAGTAACCGATATAAAGTATTGAAATCCATAATTCAAAAACAAAAATACGACCTTCTATTTACAATTCAACTATGTTGTGAGTTATTTCCAGAATTTTTTCATTCCAAACATATGTATGTATGTATGTATGTATTTATCAAATCCTTCTTACTATCGATACAATATAGAATGGACGAGTCAGCACAGCACAGGTAATAAAGAATGCATTAGATCGTGTAGTGTTGATCATGCTTGGATACTAAAAGATGTACAGCAGATTTTCGGGAAACTAACTATCAAACCCTCAAATTAGTCTACGTGTTGCAGAAGAACAGAAAAATTTAAATATCTCAAATGATACTGACTTCTGCATAATGCATATCAGGATTGAATTCACTCCTTCTCACCTTCCTCATTATATCTCTAAAGAGATCTATCGAATCACCCTGCATAGAGACAACGTCATAGGGCCGGTTCAATCACCAGTAGAGTTTCTGTTACGATATCTCATTTTTATTTAGAAAATAATTAGATGAGGAGGAAAACTAGTATTATTAATGATTTCTTTTGTTTCGGTAAGAAACCACATTACTCTGTATACGTTCTTCTCGAATGATGGAGTCACGAAAAACAAAACTGTTTGCCAAGAGATAAGAAGATTGATTTGCTCGAACGCGGTAGTGATCTGCCGGTTGGGGAGAACGAGTTGTGGAGAGTTATAGGCAACACCTCGGGTTCTTCGATTTTCAAAAATCTTACGTATATATACGGATATTTTCCCGACTTTGCTTTTGAGATATCGCCAAACTGTTGGGAATTGTCTGTGGACAAGTGCAATATCTTGGTACAATCAAAGTTTGGATCATTATCTTCGATTTTGGTGCACGAGAAAACATTTCCTTCAGTGTTAGGGTTTCGGCATTGGGAGATAAGCGTTTAATTATCAATCAAAATACTATTTCAAATTCTCAAATTGATTTGGTATCTTTGTGAACATTATTTACACCGCGGATTGTTTTTTTAGATGTTCGGATAGACCAGTGGGTTCGATAGAGGTACTATCGTGGTGATTCCGTGGATGGTGTTTCAAACCACGGCGACCGTATGCTCGAATACATAGCGAACAAACCATAAAAATCAGTAGTCGAGGGACGGTGTGGTAGACCTTTTCCGCCTGTATGTAGCAGAGGCATAGCGAGCAATTCGGAAATTTTATTGATGAATTTTTTTTTATCGCTTGGAGCGCACGAAAGGGAATCCCTTTAATTTTCAAAGAACATCGTGCGTTCCTAGAGAGGATAGGGACAGGAGGTGGGTATTGGAATTTTTCTTGAACTTTTGGAGATTATATGTTCATTATTCCGAAATTTTTGGGATTTTCTCTCCTCGTTTCTATAAAATGAAAATATGAATATCCCTGATAACACACTTATGTCCCATGAATATCCTTAAGACGTCCTGTCGGGACATTCAGGACGTCCATAGGACGCCCGAATTTGGTACCGTGGACGTCCATTGGACGTCTGTGGGACGCACAAATGTCCCACTTGAGTACCAACTAGGGACGTCCTTGAGGGACGTCCCTGGGACAACTATCAAATACCTAAATCCTACAGTATTACTCATCAAGCACTACAGAGGACGTCCTTAGGACATCCATAGGACAACCTATCAGCAACGCTGTGGGATATCAATTGGATGTCCATAGGACGTAAGAATTATTCTCTAATTTGAATTTGTTTGGGTCCCTTCAGGACCAGATCTTGCATAACTGATTAGGACATCCACTTGAGTTTATGGTCCGTAGAAGGTCCCCAAAAAGTTTCCCAAGAATGTCCAATGGACTTACGTGAAGGACATTGACGAGGAGTACTTATAGCCTACGAGCAATCATTCGTCGGCGAGGTGTAAGTTAACGTCCTCGCAGGGACAAAATATTGA